CCTATTTATGAATAGTAGAAGAGTTCATAGCCAAGCAATTTCATGGACTATCCCTCATGCCTGAAATTTTCTCCCTCCTTGTCTCTGCCTTGTGGCTTGCCTGGCTTCAAGTCTTACCTAAAATCTTACCTCCTACAGTAAGCCTTTTCTGACCTCCTTTAATTCTAACACCCATCCTCTGTTGATTAATTCCAATTTATCATGTATACATCTTGTTTGTATTTAGTTGTCTGTATATTGTCTCTTCCATTAGATTGTGACCTCCTTGAGAGAAGGAACTATCTTTTGCCTTTCTTTTTAACCCCAACATTTAGCCCAGTGCCTGGCATATAGTAGGCATTTAATAAATATTTGCTGACTAACTGACCAAACAAGGGATAGAATCATAGAAGATTAAAATGGACATTTTTTTATTATATAAAATTTTCACGTAAAAACATAGTTAAAATTAGAAATGATGCAGGTACCTGGAGGGAAAAATCTATGCAATAAGTTTCTCTATCAAAGGTCTCATTTCTAAGATTCATAAGGATCAGAAAGATTAAGTGACTCATCCAACATCACTTAGGTTGTACATATCCACTGACTCCAGAGCCAGGACTCTCCACTTTACCAAAATATTGTGAACTAAAATAAAGCATAAGGACCATTTCCCAATGGATAAGTTGTCAAAGGATATGAATGGGCAAGTTTTTAAAGAAAGAAATCAAAGCCGTCAACAATAATTTTTAAATGCTCTAAATCACTAATAATTAGAGAAATGTAAATTAAAATAACCTTTAGTTTCCGTTTCTCACTCATCACATTGCTGAAGTACCAACACAGGATAGTGACAGAAGTTGATGGGAAAACAGACACACTAATGTACTGTTGGTGGATCTGTGAATTGGGCTAGCCATTTTGCAAAGCAATTTCATATACAGCACCAGTATAACACTATTGTATGTTCCAAAGAGATCAAAGAACAAAGAAAAAGATTCATACATTCAAAAATATCTAAAGCAGCAAATTTTGTAGTAGCAAAAAACTGGAAACTAAGGAGGTGCCCACCTATTGAGGAATGGCTAAATACATGATGGGATATTAATCTAATAGAATATTATTGTGCCTTTAAAATTGACAAAATGGACAGCTTCAGAAGAAACTTCAAAGACCTTTATGAACCAGTACAAAAATGAAGTGAGCTGAACTAGGAAAGCAATTTATACAATAATAACACTATAAAGAAAAATAACTTTGAAAGATTTTAGAACCTTGATCACTGCAATGACAAATCATAATTCCAAAGGCTGTTACCCATTTCCTATCAGAAAGGTGATGAACTTAAAATGCAGAATGAGATATACATTTTTGTATATAGCCAATCTGTAAATTGTCCTGCTATGTGTATTTGTTATGCATGCGTTCTTTTCCTTTTATTGTTTAGAGGATTTCAGGTAAGTAGAAGGGTGTGAAAAATAAAAGCCTATTAATCACAAAATTTTTTTTAAAAAAGAAAAAATTCTTTTTTTAAAAGAATTGCAGTGATGAAGTGATGATACCTAACAAAGCTGAATGTTAATAGGCTTAAAAAAAAGTAAATTATACCATGTTTAAGAGTATCATTGGCAATGCTAAAAAAGTATATCGATTGTGGTAGCTAGTAGCATAACAGAAAAATTTATTAGGAAATAATAACTGAATTGTAAAAAGGCTTAAAAATAATAGTGAAAGATCTTAACACTTTTCCCCCAGCATTTGGTAAATCAAACAAAAAGCTAAAAATGAAGTTATAGATTTGGAAAATATAGGGAAGGGAAGGAAGAGAAAAGCAGGAAACATTTTTTTAAAAACATGACATCTTTACAAAAAATTGAATATTTTAGGTTTTAAAATGGTAAATTTTGAAAAACAAAACTTGTAAAAACTTTTATACAGTGGCAAAAGCACTGGCTTTGGAGTCAGTGAATGCTTGTTACCTGTGATCTTGGAAACGTCACTTCATATCCCTGGGCTTCAGTTTCCTCATCTATATAATGAAGGAGGAGTTACACTAAGTAACTTCTGGGGTTCCTTTCAGTCTTAAATCCATAGATCATTAAAGTTCTATTCTGGTGTTTTATTGTGGCATGGAGATGACTCTGAATTCTCAAAGGCTATGCTAGCAAAGCATAATCTCTGACAAGCCTTATAACTTGTCTGTGTCAGAGACTAGAGTTGAACTTAGATATGTCTTAACACCATAGGTCCACTATCAACTATACTACACTGTTATTGTAGGTATAAAAAGTAAAAAGTGCTTATACTGTAATAAAAATAAAGATATTTTTATTCTTCTGAATTAACTGATTAATTGGAGTGGCAAAGAACTGACTTGTAAAACTGTGGTAATGGTGTGATTGCGTATTTTAAAATTTGTAAGGCTTCTAAATTTAATCATTTAACAACTGAAAACATTGGGGGAAAATATTTTATGGTGATCCATGGCTTGCCTTTATATCCAGACAGACAACTCACCTATCAAGAAAAGCCATATTTAAGAGAGTTTAGTTTCAAAATTGTGCCAGAAATTATGGTTAAAATCTAAGATAGTTAATATAGTCCAGTTAACTTCGTCACTGAAGTTTGTGTGTGTTTTTGTGTATGTTGTGCGAGTGTACTATGATAACCATATAAAAACTACCCCTCTGTCATTATGCCTTCTTTTTTAAGGAGTGTAGCACCAAGCTCACCATCTTGTCCTACTAGGAAACTTTAATATTCACATAGATGATCCTTCAAATGCCCTAATCTTGCATTTCCCAGCCTATCAAAAGTCCTGTGACTTTCTCCTTCACTTCATCTCAGCCACACGTAAGGGATGGTCACACACTAGATCTCCCCATTACCTACAAATGTCCTACTTCCCTAATTAAAAACACTGACATTTCCTTATCTGACCATTAGCCATCATTCCACCTCTTCCTATTCCTCACCCTACCTAAATGTAATCTTTTTCCACTTAGATACCCAATTTCTTTATCCCTCTTTTCTCCCTTTCTGATCTCAACCTAAAAGCCATTTGAACTCAAAAAAATGTTCCCTCTTTCCTTTCTCAAACTCCTTAAAAATCTGACCTCCTCTTTCCTCTCACTCTTCAACCCTCTATAATCTTCCTTTTAACTTCATCCAATCAACTAAAAATATTCTCTCCAAATTTACCAGTGATCACTTGATTACCAAATGTGATGGCCTTTCTTCATCCTAATATATTTGTTGATTCATCTATTGTGTTTTGTACCATTAGCCATCTTCTCCTCTTGGACACTTTTTTCTCTCTGGGTTTTTATGCCACTATTTTTTCCTGGTCAGCCTCCTGCTTGTTTGATTGCATCTTCTCAGTTACCTTTATTGACTCATTCATATCCTATCCCTTAACTGTAGATATTCCCTGAGGTCCTACCTTCCCTCAGTTATTTCATCAACTTCCATGAATTTAACTATCATCCCTGTAGATAACTCCTAGGTCTACCAATCCTGCCACAGTTTCTCCCCCATGGTCCAGTTCTGCATCACCAGTTGCCTATTGGGCATTTCAAACTGGAGACATCATAAAAGTCAACATATCTAATACTGAACTCATTATCTTTCCCCCTCTTCCAAACTTCACCATTTCTGTCAATAGCACTATTACCTTTCCAGTATCTCAGGTTCATAATCTGAGCATTATCCTGAACTTCTTATTTTCCCTCATCCTACACATCCAATCAGCTTCCAAATCTTGCCATTTCTACCTTCACAACATCTCTCACATCCTACCCCTTCTTTCCATCCACACAGCTACTACTGTATTTCAGTCCCTTATCATCTTTGGCCTAGAATTATTGCAAATAGTCTCCTACTTAGTCTCCCTACCTCAAGTCTCTCCCTACCATATGTTACACAGGTAAGACAGGCTACCAAAGTAATTTTCCACAAGCACAGATGTGATCATGTCACTCATTTAATCAGCTCTAGTATTTTCCTCTGGAATAAACCCATCCATTTAGCTTTTCAATATGGTTCCTATCTGTCTTTTCAACTTCATTGGACGTTGCTTCCCCTCCCATGTTCTATGATCTAGTTAATTTTGTTTTCTCTCTGTTTTTTCACATTACATTCCATCTCCCATATCTGTACCTTTTCACTGGTCATCCTCCATTCCTAGAATGTATTTCCTCATTACCCGCTTCTCAAACAGTTTATCTCTTCCCTTTAAGATACAACACAGGCATCATCATAAATGTGAAGCCTTTCTGATTGCTCCAGCTGTTAGAGCTTTGCCTCCCAGACCACCTTGTATTTAACCGCTTTGTGTATATATGTATAAGTCTATGATGTGTATGTATTTTAAATATATATGTATGTATGTATGTGTGTATACACACTCATTACCTTCTTTAGAATGTAAGCTCATTATGGTTAGGGATTGTTTCATTACTTATGCTTGTATCCTCAGTGCCTTGCACAAAGCCTGGTACATAGTAGGCATTTAATAAATACTTGATTAATTGATTATATATTCACTCTTTATTTTAGTTTTTTAAAAATCTTATTTTTTCATAGGAATGTTGATCATATATGTTAGTTGATAAATTGAACTTATTGCTAAATAAATTACTTAAAAATATTCCATCTGTTCATTTGTTTCTCAGATGTCATTGTGCTCTACAGATTTGGAAAGAATAATGGTAGAAATATTATAACTTAGTCATATGCATAGTAAAATATATTTTTCATTTAGAACCATAGCACATAGAATTGTGGAATATCCAGTTATACTTTAGATATGTGAACTGTAAGGTAAAAATATCATTAATCATAAGTAAAAAGAAAATAATACTAATTCATTGGCAAATTAATGTAGCTAATATAGAACTTTCAGAATTAGAAGATATTTAGTTAATTTTATGTGAACAATATTAACTGTCAAATGTATAGTAATACCAAAACATTTTTATAAGTGGTAGTTGACAATAGTTAATATTAATGTTTTAATCCAGAGAATTATATCCAGATCTTAGAGATAATCTGAAAGAGTTCCGAAAACATCTTATCGAAAGTGGTAAAGAAATGGTACCTTTGAAAGTCTGGGAGCTACAAGGTATAGTATGTAGACTTAACTATAAATACATTTGATAATAGACCCACTGGTTTGTTGCAGGTGCAGTGGAAAAAGCACTGAACCAAGACCCAGGAGACCTAGATACTAGTTCTAGTTCTACCCTTAATATTTACATGATTTTGGACTAGTTATTTTAAAACCTGAATCCATTTCCTCATCTTCAAAAAGGACAAAATTATACCCATCCAATCTATATTTACAGAGTTGTCATGATGCTCAAATGAGATAATGTGGAATGACAGATTTAGAAAAAGAAGAGACCTTCAAGATCTAGTTCAGATCCTCATTTTTTTATATGAGACTGAACCCAAATATTTAGCTAACTTGCAGAGAAGTAGAAGAGTTGATTTAACCTAAGTCCTCTAAGTCCAAGTCTAATCCCCTTTCCACTCTATTGATTGCCCTGGGTCTCATGTGCGAAGGTACTTTGAAAACTGTAACATTACGTTAATGTTGTTTTTATTTGTTATTACAAGACTTAGGAAGACCGGTGTTCAAATATTCCCCTGGACTTAGGACCTATGTGACCCTGGGCAAGTCATTTAATCTTTTTATGCCTTAAGTAACCTCTGAGAACTCACCTAATAAATCATAGACAGTTGTAATCTTTATGGTGTAAGCAATTCTCATTTAAAGAATTTCTGAAGTTGATGAAACTGCAATTATTTTGTATATAATATGAATATTTACATGTTTCATGGTCCTAGTTACAATTAATGTCATATTTCATACATGAATTTAGATTGTTATGGCCATCCATATAATAAACAACATGGTTTGTATTTATTTGTAAGTATGAAAATTATGCAAAGGTAGTTTAAAAATTTTAACTCTTTTCAAAGTGAATGTTAGTTTATCTAATAATTTCACCGGTTTTAAATCGTGTTTCTAAACATCTTTAATGCCAGTAAAAAAGAAAATAACATTATATCTTGACCATGAGGTCAGGACAAATCAGAGCAACATCTTGCTTTCCTTCTCTTATAAATTCTGATCTTATCACACTGCTACATGTCCCACTGATAAATTTTTAATAGAAATATCAGATGAAAGGACAGGCTATTAAAAACTTTCTTGTAGAACAGAATTGGGGAAGAAATGTGAAAAAAGTTGATTTCTATGCAACTTTCATACTGATGACCTGCAGGCAGATATTCTGTTGCTAAAATGTCTTTTGGATTGAATTATAAATCATAGTAGAATTGTGACTTTCCCTTATACTATTTCTAATAATGTGGCACTGGAGTAGGTCATGAGAAAGTGTCATCTTAACACACAATCCGTTACTTATATCACATCCTCCATCATATATTAAGGGTGAGAATAGATGCTTGTGAACTTGAAATATATTGAAAAATTTTACTCAGCATTGTGAAGTTCAAACAATGGGAATGCATTGCCTTTAAAAGGAATGTATTACTACATCATTCTTTAAAAATCAAATTGTTATTTTATCAGTTTGTAGAATAAATGCAGTGTTGCTTTCAAATTTGTCTCATTAAAACAAGGTTTCAAATGTGATAACAAAATATGCCTAATATGATATTGCTCAAAATAATTTTTCATAAATCTTTTGTCCTTAAGGATAACACTATTGGAAAACTTATATGGCAGATATTTAGAAAATAGTGATGATGTGGTCAAATTTGAATGTTCTTATATTGAATATTTAGGAAATCACATCGGTATAGTATAATAAAAATTGAGTTGATGGCACCGAACCTATTGAATTTGAATATAAAATCTACCCTCTACCACTTTGAATTCATTTCAGATTTTAAGCCACATTAATGCCTGCAGCATATCTTCACAAATACAATTGGGGGAGGTATGGCTAGAGAGCAGTTCATCTGAAAAAGATGTGGAGATTTTAGTGAACTGCAAGCTCAATATAAGTGGCATAGTATGGTAGCCCCCCCCCCTCCAAAGGCAAATGCAATCTTAGGCTAATTTAAAAGAGATGTAATATTAAGGACTGCTAGGTTATAGATCTACCCTAGCCAAACCATATCTGAGGTATTATGTTCACTTTGGGATTCTCCATTATAGAAAAGATGTTGATAAACTAGAAGGTGATACCCTATATGAAGACCACTTAAGTGAATTGGAGGTGATTAACTTGCATATGGGGGGAGAGGAGATGGGAAATACTAGGCATCTTCAAATTTTTGAATGTCTGTAACGTGAAAGAGAGATGAGTCTTGTTTTTAGTTCTAAATGGCAGAGCTAGGAACAACGGGTGGAAGTTGTAATGAGGCATATTTGGACTTAGATGTAAGGAAAACCTACTTTAAATGCAAGGTAACTAGAGAGGAAGATTGTACTAGCAGTTTTGGGGAGCTGTGGGAGGAGAATCAAGAAATGCTTGTGGAAGGTGGTACTTTTCAGCTAAGTTGTGTTACAAAATTGCAAAGAGGAGAGAAAATCCAGGAAGGGAGGGTAATCAGCAACCAGAGTACAAAAGGCTGAGTGTCATTATCAAAGAATTTGAGAGAAGGGAAGTATTTTAGTAAGTGTGTAGTCTAAGCCATGTGCAAGAGGAATCCCCACTTTAACATATCCAGCAGTTGGAAACACAACATATGTTTGTAGACTTCCAAAGAGGAAGAACTCATCACCACTTGAGGCAGCCCATTCCACTTTTGGACAGTTCTAGTTGTTCAGAAGTTTTTCCTGACAAGCCTACATTGCAATAGTTCTCTCTTCAGGGTCAAACAGAATGACTTTAATCCCTCTTCCAAATGACAGCCCTTCAAATACTTGAATATGCCTCTCATATCTCTCCTTAGGCTTCGCTGGGCTAACACACCCTAGTTCCTTCAACTAATCATCGTATGACATAGTCTCAAGACCCTTCACCGTTCTGGGTGCCATGTTCTGTACACTCCCAAGCTTATCAATGTAGGTGTCCTCCTGTAGACACTATCCAGCTGATTGTTGTTCTTAAACTGTGTCACCTGAATTGAACACAGTACTCCAGATATAGTGTAAGACCAGAAACAATAGAACTGTCAGCTCCCTATTCTTTGAAGCTGTGCCTGTTTTAATGCATCCTTAAGACACTGAATTCTTTGAGTCTGGCCATCAAACTAGTTTTGAATCCATCTGATTAGATTATTGTCTACTCCATCTTCTGTCTTCTCCACAAGAATAAATGAGATTCTTCATCAAAGATTTTGCTAAAATATAAATATAGTATATCTAAAGTATTCCCCTCATTTAATAGTTTAGTAATTCTGTCAAAAAAGGAAATGAAGTTAATCTGGCATGACTTGTTCTTAATGAAACCATTCAGGCTCTTTATGATTACTGTTTCCTTCTAGATCTTCAACAGTCATCTTTTTAATGATCTGTTCTATAATTTCCCCAGGAAGCAAAGTTGGGTTTACTGGCCTATAGTTAGATTTCTTACCTTCTTTTTTTTTGAAAATTGAAATAACATTTGCCCTTCTCCAATCTTGTAGTACCTTTTTCCATGATTCCATTATCACAGGCAGTGACCTAGCAATCACATCTACCTATTACTTCTTTCAGTAACTGAAAATTTGTTTCATTTGGACTAAGTGACCTGAATTCATTAGAGGAAACCAAGTGCTCTCTCATCTTGGTTTTAAGGGAAAAGAATGGAAAGGAACAGGTATTTGTTAAGCACCTACTATGTGCCAGGCACTGTGCTAAGCACTTTACAAATATTATTTCATTTGATCCTCACAACAACCCTGTGAGGTAGGTGCAATTATTATCCCTATTTTATAGAACTGAGGTGAGCAGAAATTAAATGACAGCCAGCTAGTGTCCAAAGCTGAATTTGAATTTGGGCCTTCCTGACTCCAGACCCAAAGCTCTATCCACTGTGCCATTAGGCTTTCTGGTAGTAATTTTTTTTCCTGTAATTTCCAAGACAAAAGTCATTCTTTTTGACAGAGAGCATGCAAACAACATAAGAACTGAATAGCTCTACCTTCTCTCTGTTGTCAGGTACCATGATCCTGTTCTTTCTTTAATCCTTTTTTTTCTAGTATAGCTTAAAAACTCAACCAATGCTTTTTGTTATCTTTATAGTCTCTCATTACCCTCAGTGCATTCTGAGTCTAGTTCTATTGACACTGTTTTTATACTGTCCCATGCTTTCTATTCATTTTCTGTTACTTGGCTTATGCTTCCATGTTCTGTACATTTCTTTTCAAAATCTACATTGGGAGTTCCTTGTGCCACTTTAGTCTTTTCAGACAGGTCTCATTTTTTCTCCTCATTAGAATTGTTTCCCTTTGTGTCTTCAGCATTTCATTCTTGTGCACATCCTGTTTCTCCCAAGATTTTCCTTATGGACAGTTTGAGCTTGTAGGATCTCATCTATCTTTCTTCTGAGCCTGATTCTTATGGAGAAATGTTTTCCCCAAATCCAGAGTGCATATAATACTGTGACCAAATTTTTCCTCCTATATTGCAGACTCTTATCCCAGAATTCTCATTATTTCCACCCTAGCCTTATACCTCCAACTTAGTAAGAATCATATCCAGAATAGAACTCTCCCTCATTAGTTCCTCCACCTTTTTGCAAGATGAAAGTATCACTAAGGCAAGTCAAGAAGTTACATTGTTAGCTGCTCTGCTTTTGGAGAAGAGACAGTACCAGTAAATGTCCAGATAACTGCAATCAACGACTGATACTCTATCAGGCCTCTGGGCTAATTTTGTGATCTGTTTTCTAAACTCCTTCATTTCTTCTCCCTCTTCCGGTGGTCTGTCATAGGCTTAAATACAAAATCTCTTTTGTTTCTCCCACCACTGACCTTCATTCAGATACTCTCAGAGTCCACCCCTCTCATTCCTGGATTTCCTTGTTTGAGTTCATCTTTTGCATAGGTAAAGCTCTATTCTTTCTACCCATTTTACAAATCTTATTTCTTTTCAATAAGGCATATTCATCCAGAGCTGCAGCCCGGTCATTCTATAGGATCTCTGGTGCCTTTTGTTTGTTATAGTTGCCCTTAGGGAGGCAATGGCAAATCAGATGGTACTACATGTTCTTTTCTATGTACATGTATCATTTCTAATTAATGAAATTTTATTCATTTGTGATGTTGAATCATTTAACAGTATCAAGGCCTTTTTAGTAGCCATGGATATTGAATAGTTGGGGGCTATAGAACCTACAGTTATCAGTTGCCCATTGCCAGTTTGCATCTCCACGAGGATTGTTCACCTAAATTACCTTCTCTGAGATGACCTGGTTACATGATAGTGACTCAGTTGTTATGGAGAGATATTCAAGCAATTTGTTTAAAGTTTGAATGCTAGAACTTTTTTTAATAGAACAGCATCAGATCCCCAAAATAAACTCCTTTTAATCTTTGACCTCCAAAGTGCCTTTTGCTACAAAATACAAATAACTCCTCAGGTTTGCATAGTGCCTTAAAGTTAACAAAGTGGTTTTGTCACAACGAAACCTGAAAAAAGTCCTTTGGTGTATCAAATTATACATTTAAATATATAGTACTATGTAAAATAAAGATATTTGTTAATATAGGATTCTGCCTGCATTAAAATGATAAAACAAGTATATGCCATTATATCAATAACCTGGGATTTTGTTAGTGTGATAACTCTCCACTGACAGAGAGAGAGCTAAACCCCACCATAGACTTATAATTCTAAAGAAGTGTCTAAGTTTCAGAGAGATTATATGACTTGCCCAAGGTCAGATAGCTACTAAATGTCAAAGTGAGACCCCATAATTGCATAACTTTCTGCTTCCAAGTCCAGTTCTTGATCTAATACACTATGTGACATTTTGTGGTCAAATTATTAGCTAGTGATTAATGGAAGTAGATCTTTATAGCACATTCTGATGATTGCAAAATAACTGTTATTGCCAATTACTGTAGTAGATAGATTTAAACTATAGTTTGTCACTGTCACTTTCATGCATTTCATAGAATTCTATAGGAACACAATTTTGTTTTCATTTCATATATACAATTAGAGAAGCATCTTGAAATAGATTGACTGTCATTACCTTTCTAAGCTAAAATTGAATGTCCTGCTTACCTTTTATTAACTTTCTTTTAAAAATTTTATTCACTTTATCAAGCTTTGCCTTCAAATGTTTAATTTTCTGTAATAAATAAAAATCATTTTTGTCGTATATATTTTCTTCCAATTCGTCTATCATTTGTCCACTTGCCGTCACTGAGGACATTCAGAAAACAGGGAATAAATAATTTGTAGTTAATTATTCACTCACAAAAATGTATAACTTATTTGAGGTCCAAGTGGCAGCATTTTAAAATGCTAATTTTAATAAATTTCACCAAGTTTAGATTTATGAGAAACATATAACTAAAATACTTTTAATAACATGTAATATCTTTAAAATCTTAAGTAGTGTTTAATTCATTGTCATTTTTTTCTTACAGATCTTAGTTTTCAAGCAGCTTCTCAAATTATGACTGCTCCAGTTTATAATGCCATAAAATTAATGAAAGATATTTCTCAAAATTTCCCAGTGAAGGCCAGGTATGCTAAAGTTATTTGTTTTGAATAACTAGAGCCCTTTTGTATAGGCTATTTCACATAAAAAAAATCTGATGTAATTCATTGTGATGATCTCAGTTCTAGGAATGAATAACTCATGTGCAACTGTGCTTTTTTTTCATTCTCAATATTGGTGTTTTCTTTAGAAATAATATCTTGGTGGTGTTTAAAGTAGTTTCATGCAAATAAGTCAGATTCATGACCGAGCCACTTTCTGGGCTCTTTTTTTTTGTGTGTGGTAATCACTTTGCAAATCACAGTGTAAATCACTTCGCATAGGTTAAACTTTATTATAGTCAGTTTCTGATGTTTCTGTTTACTATTTTTGATCATCAATTACTTATTTAAATAGTTTTTTGCTAAGTTATTTCCACTTAAATTCAATTTTTATTTTTCTTTCTTGTTTTTTACTAATTCTATTCTCACTTCTGATGAGTCAGTAGTTTGATTGTAAACACACAGTTGACTCAGAAATAACTCTCCCCTGAGGAGCAACTGTTTTTCAGTCTGTTAAAATATAATCTATTTCATTCTTTTGCGCTCTTCAAATATAGTCAGTATTGGCAGTTAGTATTGTTGTTTTATTATATACCTTAGTGAATCTCCACACTTGCACCTATGCAGAAAATGGCCTCTGTGACCTTGAATTATCTGGTGACATTATATAAACTGGCTATATGTGAACAGCTATTAAAATAAAAATGGCTTTGTCACACAAGTATTTCTGGGGCAACAACTATTCATTATTGACAGGACTCTGACAATACTTAATGTCTATAATTGGTGCACTTTGACTTTTATTAATCTACTATTGTCTTTATTCTACCAATGACTTTCTATAATTAAAATCTTTGGCTGATAAAAAACAGTGAAACTTAGTGAATTGGCTTATACCTTACATTTATTCCAGAAAGCATCATATTTTAATAGAGATGACATTATAGTAATCAGGATGTTAGAATTCCCAATTTCTTCCCCCAATTTTGCTTCATATTCAATGTTAACTAGCCTTAAACTATCAAGGAATAATAATGTGTACTGTGACAGCAGTATTTATTTTGCAGATCACTAACCAGAATTACTGTAAACCAACAAATGCGAATGGAAATAGAGGAAAATCAAAAGGTTTGTCTACTTTTTTCATACATTTAGATTCTATTATTAAAATTTCAGATTTTCAAACCAAAACTGTAGTCCTTAGTTTATCACAAAAATGGAATTATCTGAGGTTATTACTATTCTATATTTATTAAAATAATTTATTTCAAAATTCTTTTTTGGGGTAGTAACTATTTCATAAATTAGCCATTTATATATGCATATATATTGAGAGAGTAATTATTTCATAAATTAGCCATATACACATATATCTTTCTAAATACTTTTTATAAAAATAAAAATCTTATACTTGTGTAATATAAAGGCAACATAACATAGTGGAAAGAGATATAACCTTGGAGCCAGATGACTTGATTTCAAGCTTAACCTCTGACACATACTGGTTTTATGATTCTGGACAAGTCACTTAATCTTTTAGTATCCTAAGAAAGTCTGATGTTATAAGTTGCGTAGAATGTGCCAACCTGCATTGGTAGACAATGGTTCCTCATTTGAGAGTTCCCTGTATCAGTGAAATCACATTCCTATTTCTATGTTCTTTTTTTATTCCCTTTCCTACATCATAAGCTCTTTGAAAATAAGAAGTATGTCTTAATTATCTTTACATCCTATAGAAAGTAATGCTAAATAAATATTTCTTAAATACAGTATGAAAAGACTTAACATTTTCAATAGCTTTGTAGTTAAAAAATGATTCAACAAATATATGTATGTTAAATTATACATTAAAGAAAGTTTTTGTAAATTTGTTTATGATGAAAACTACAAAACTAATACCCCCATATCTGAGCTAATTCCTAATTCAGTAACTTGTATCGATATGTTATGTAGCCCTTAGAAAAAGTAAAGAAATATAATATAAAGAACACAAGGTTTAGAACACGGTAGAATGGTAGATGACAATGTGACCAAAACAGTAAATTTCAGGATATGTAAAGAATCATATGTATATTATTCTACTATTTCCATTATAAACTATTTTAATGTATATTTTGGTAGTATTTATACATTGAATGTATATTTGATAATCATTTCATCCATTCTTTTTTATCTATATTTGGTCTTTTAAAGTTTATTATATTTATTAGTTGTATTGCCCTGTTTCAAAGTACTATCTTGAAACATAAAAAATTGATCAGTGTGCTTTAAAGAAGTTTTCACTTGGATAGTGAGGCCCCCCCACAATTATGGATTTGATCACCATATCAGCCAGTACATTTTGTTTCATTAGCCTATGTACAAAAGCCCCTAAGCCTAGTAAGCCATCTTGGAAACTTATCCCTTTATTGATGTGGGCACTATGGCAAAGGAGTGTTGATATAGAAGCATAGATCCATCAATAAAATTGGGGAAAGTGTGTATTCTACAGAGTATGGATTCATTAGCATCATCTTATGATCAACAGTATATTGTTATTATAATACTTAGTTTCTTTTTAAAATTCTACTTATGGTGTTGTGGAGATTACCTCAAGATTTTCAGGACCACCAAATCTCAAGTAGGCTCCATCAGCCTGTTCTCTTTTGATGACATTCCGTTTCCCATATCTGACATTTCACAGGCTTTTCTAGGAATGTATTCCCTCCTCACTTCTGCTTTATCAAATTTTTTGTTAACTTCAAAACCCAGTTCAAGTGCCACCTTCCTACATAAAGCCTGCTATGATCCCTCCAATTGTTAGTGTTCTCCTCCTAGAAATTAATTTGTATGTATTTATTTTTACTTATCTTTATTCATCTTGTTTCCCTCAATAGAGTAAAGCTCACTGAGGGCAGAGACTGTTTCATTTCTGTCTTTGTAGCCTGAGGCCCTGGCACAATGCCTAGCATGTATGATGTGCTTAATGAATGTTTGTTGAAATTGGTGAAACCTGGGCTTTGCACATGGGTCCATTGATAGATTATGTCTGTAGTCTGAAGAATCAGCCCAGCTGAATCTGGAGTGACTTATAACCAGAAGGTTGAACATTAGTTAATGATTTTTTTTTCTTTACCACAGATATTCCTTAAAAAATCCAGTAAGATATAGAAGATTGCAATATACATTCATAGAAGTACTCAGACTAATGAAACCTTAGATCAGTGGAAGTCTACTTCAATTGTATTTTATCAGATTTTCAATACTTTATCATACCATAGTGTAGTGAATAGAGAGTAAGCCTCAGAATCAGAAAGACAGGTTCAAATCATGCTGCTGTCAAGTACTAACTTTGTGATCATGAAGCAAGTCAGGTTGACATTTCAGTGCCCTCAGGCAGTTATTTAAGATTATAAGTTACAGAAGTTTGTTATATGCATTAATGAAGAGAGTTTCTGTTCAGTGGTCCCTTACACTGAAGAAATCATAGATACAACAATAACAAAAAGCAGAGTTCAGAAGTCTGCATTATAGTCACCATAATCCACCAGTGCTGAATACAAAATAATATGGCGATGCTTGTGTGGTGGTAGACAGGCCAATTTTCCTTTTCATGCCTTATGTTTTTCCTTTCTATAAATGAGTGGTTTTGGACTGTATGGCCTTTAAGATTCCTTTCTAGTCTAAATTTGTGATCTTATTACCTTTGTTCAAACTAATATAATTGTATATAAAATTAATATTTGCTACACAAAGTGTCTGAAGTTAAACCTGTTTATTTGAAGCTTTATATAAAGTTGGACTATTAAATACTCTTATAGAAATTAGCCAGGTAATAAAGTATATTGGTATTTTGGCAAAGTCCTTTAAGATAAGTAGGCTTTTCATAAATATTCTTATGTTCATTTTTAGTGAAAAGTCAACAAAAAAGAAGCAAATAGGTATTTAAGAAGTATCTTTAGTATAGTATGGGGTTATTCAGTGTTCATGGCAAAACTATATTGATTTAATAAAAATAACAATGCCATCCAAGTTAGTCTATATATTTCATTCTCTACCAATTGAATTTCTATGTGGATACTTTATAAATGACAAAATTATAACAGAATTCATATGGAGGTCAAGAATATGAAAGTATATAATGAAGCCAGGAGGACCCTGAGCACTAAGGAAGCAGGGAAATGCTGGAGTCAGGAGGCAGAAAATGGCCAGAGAAAATAAAAGGATGGAAGTCAAAGTCAATCTCTGGATTTTTGCCTAAAATCAGCCCTGCCACATTTCTCTATAAGAGCCTAAACTTACCAGTATTATGAAAATAGGTGAATGAACAGCAATTTCTGGGCAGGTCCTTTGTTGAGTAGGGTGAAAGTAGGAGGAAGACCCCTTCTCATTTCTACCCTCCTCAAGCCTTCTTACTGACTCTGCTTTATACTAAGTTTACTAGTAATAATTATGGCAGGAGCAATGCATGAGAAAGGCACGGGAGCGTTTTACCCGTATATATATCCATTGATGTATATTCCAAATCAGGAACTATCCTGGGTACCTAGGTCATATGTATGGGCCAATAAGATCCACAAATCATGTATAGTTGTCATGTTTGCCTACATTTTGATTTCGTCTCAATCTGTTCTTGTTCTGTTTTAAGAGTCTCCATGATAGACTTGAAATTGAGCCAGGTGATGCTGGTCTATTTATAAATGGTCTTCAGATTGACTTGGACTTTCATGATCCGTTTAGGTAAGAATCAGATGCTTAATAAAAATTTTATGTGCACATTCAGTTGTATTACATTTAACATATTTATTATTGCTCATGAGGTGAAGGAAAGTGAGCCACAACTATGAATTAAGGAATTGTGCAAAACAATCTGGTTAACTATTATTCTAACTATTATGATAAACTATGATTAACCAGCTACTCCTCATTCTAAGTACAGAAAGGCTACTGATAAATAGAATTCTGACCTTAGCAAATCAACTCCTCCATATTTGGCTGAACATCCAAGAAGCTTTTTTCAGAAAAAAAAAGTCAATCAACAATCATTTATCAAGTGCTTTCTATGTGCCAAACACCCTGCTAGGAACTGAAGCTGATAGAGTCTTCTTAGGAGTAGAAAATTGAAGTAATGTTAAAGAACTGGGAAACCAAGAGAGAACATACATAATTTAGTTTTTCCTTCACTAAGTCCTACTTTTCTTGGGCCTAGATGTTTATTGAAACTATGATACAAGGAATGAAGAGAGGGAATCTTCCTAGTACATAACATTACAGAATTTCAGAATTGCAAGGGATATCAGAAGCTATGTAGTCAAATCTTTACCCAAATCAGAATATTTTCTACAACATATCTGGTAATGAATACAGCATTTCCCCCACTTAATAGTATTTTATTTTTTGCAATTACATTTAAAGATAGTTTTCAACAATCACTTTTATAAGATTTTGAATTCCACAAGTTGTGATATATGAATGTAATGGAAAACAGCTTTTGTTAAGCACTTACTATATGCAAAGCACTGTGCCAAGCACCAGAATTACGAATAGAAAAGTGAAAGTCCTTGCCTTCAAGGAGCTCACATTCTAATGAAGATAATACAAACCATATTTCACTATATAACTGTCTCAGATTTTATGACAAATTTTTTTTTGCAAAAAAGTGGGACATGACCATTATGTGAAGCTTTTGAAAAAGTTGTGCTGGTAGTACTTAAATATCATTTATTACTGAACTGCCTTTGATGCAAGATTAGGATGTGTGGAATACTCATGAATATCCATGAAAATTGAATATTGACAATTCTAGGCTCATTGCTCACAATGCACAAGAGATAAATATATATCCATATGCCACTGGTGAATACATTGCTGCTGTGTTTACTTTTTAAGTGGGGTGAGAAACAGAATTATACCATGAGACGACTATGCAATGAAAGGTTATAAGCCAATTTTTGGACTGAAAAAAACAGGGTGTGACGATTATGCAGTGGAATATGGTATGAAATGTTTCAGCTGCAAATCAAATGGAAAGGTCTTACAGGACTTAAGGTACATCATCAAAGCAGATGGTGATGCCTTTTCTTTAATGTCATCTACTTTGATAAAATCATACCCAATTCTTATTTTAAGACATTTGACAGTGAGAAATTAAAATGATCAAAGAGAAATAAGAATTGGTCTGAAGCCCAAAAAGTTCTGGAAAAGCTTGAAAAGGATTTTAAAAATCAAATAAGAGAGATAGAAGAGAATTGGGAAAAGATGTGAGAATTATGCATAAGAATCATGAAAAAAAGAGTCGACAGCTTGGTAAAGGAAGCACAAAGAATGGAAGAAGATATACAAAAGTTCACTTAAGAAAGTAACTCCTTAAAAAGTAGAATTGGCCAAATGGAAAAGGAGGCACAAAAGCTAATTGAAGAAATAATCCCTTAAAAATTAGAATTGGGCGAGTAGAAGCTAATGACTCTATGAAACTTCAGGAATCAAAGAAGGAAAAAATAGAAGAAAGTGCATTAGAAAATGATCTTCCCTTCATTGCTGACCTAGGGGATAATGGGCATGCAAGATTTTATATGCTTTTAGATGCAATCAATGTATTGGTTGATTTTGCTGAGCTTTTCTTTTTCCTTTAAAATTTTTGTTACTGAGGAAACTTTGCCATTTGGGGGAAGGATGTATTTGGAAATAAATATAAAAATAAAATGCAATAAATATTTACCACGGGAAGAGTGAATTGGTCCCAGAATTGAACAGGAGGAAGACTTTGAAATTGTACAGTACTTTTAATCGTTTTTTGAAAACCATTATTCTCTTGGTGATGCTGTATTATTGCATATTTAGGACCCCACAATATCCAAAGAATTAAAGTTTCAAGAGAATTAGAGAACAATAGGGATGATATATATATAGATAGATAGATAGATAGATAGATAGATACATATTTATATATATATATATATGAAGAATGGACTTAGGCTGCAATATATTTCAAAATGATGGATATGTGTAAACAATAGCATAAAATATTACATTTGGGAAATACATAATTTAGAAGGGCTGTGGGCCACTCACAGAGCAAAAGAAAGTGAGGGATAAAAGCTCTATATTTTTTGTGTGTGTTATATGGATATTATTGTGCCTTGAGTAAAAAACATGTAAAGTAAAAAACATGAGGAATTGAGAGAAACATGGGAAAACTTGTAGAACTACTATAGTGTGAAGCAAACAGTACCTTTTAACCACAAATGGAATAATTATAGTGCTGTAAAAGAAAACAACACTGAAAAGTATTTGAATTCAGACTCTGAACTGACAATAAAACGAACTTCCTGTTTTTAAGTAGAAGGGTCAGGGACTATGGGATTGAAATATTGCATATACAGTTGGTCACAGTCCTTTTGTCAGTCAGATTTGCTTAGCTGTTTCTCCTTTTGACAAAGTAGGGTTCAGCATTTGTCCTGAGGACATATTGGGATGAGTTTATGACATTTAAAAAATACAAAAATGAATCAATAAACCTTTAAAAAAAACAATATCCATGATATACAGCTAAAGAAAGCTCTATAATTTAAATGCTGCAATTGTACCATAAAATATAGAAAAGACCTAAGGGAAGGCTTAGGATGTTGGATCAATACTGCCCCAGGAGAGGAAGTGTAGATAGATTGAAATCTACACCAATGGAAGATGTTCTCGATCTGACCTGATTTGGGTCTGGTCAGAGTTGGGAATAATAACAACAACATTTATATACTGCTTTTAGAGCACATTACAGAGCACTTTATGTAAATTATCTCATCTGAGTTTTACAATTACTCAGTGAGGTAGGTGCTGAGGAAACTAAAGCTAAGAGAGTTTCAAACTATCTACCAGTGATCATGTAGCTAGTATGTGACTGAGGCAGGATTTGAACTCGGGACTTCCTGACTCCAAAGCCAGCACTTTATCCACCATACTACCTAGATCACATTAGAATGAAATGAGACAGTAACTTTTAACAAAAGTAGGGCTTTTTTTACAACAATCTCGAAAAAAGCATATCCAGCAAGGATATTTTATTTATTCAGTTGAGCAAAATTCCTCTCCCTCTGAATTTACAATGGTGGTGCTTCTGATAGGAAACATGTTTCAAACCTGAAAAGCTTCTGACTACCATGACTTCTTGTGTGCTGAGTTTTTCTACTTACAAGAAAGCTCTATCAGTGGCTCCAACCTTAATCTCTTGGACAAATTAATCATTAATGATAGTGTCATTGCCTTTTTAGGAAAAGAATACCTCCCTCCAAAGGTATAGTGACATCCTGTGTCACTCTGTTCCATATCTTCTGTTACAGCTGCCACAATGGTAGTATATAGCATATATTTAATTCTAATTGAATTGTTAAAACTGAACTTCAACAATTTTGGCAGTTATGTAGCTACACACTGAAGTTATACTAGATTTGAAGATGAGTTCAAAACAGAGCTGAATCTTAAATTACCAGATATTAATTTCATAGATATACCAAAAATATATTTAATTCTAATTGAATTCTGATTTGACATTAACAATTTCGGCAGTTGTGTAACTGCACAGTGAAGTTATATTAGATTTGTAGATGAATTCCAAACAAGAAAGATTGGATCACCAAATATTAGTTTCATCAGTACACTAAAAATAGGAAATAAGCCAAAATATATCACCTTCATTTTTTTTTTTAGTGTAAGATTAAAATTTGTGTAAAATGATCCTAAGTGATAATTATTTTTCTTCATTTATTAAATTTATTTTTCAGTTAATTCATCACCTAGACTGTTGCAATAGCTTTCTAATTGGCTTCCCTGCCTCAAATTTCTCCCCACTCTACCCCTTTCTCCTCACATCTGCTAAGATAATTTTTCTAAAGCATAGGTCTAACCTTGCTCGATAAACCCCCCTAGCTCCCTATTGCTCTACTATAAAATACAAAGCACTGTTTTTGCCACTTAAGGCTCTTTACAACCTAAGATCTTCCTACCTTTCAAGTCTTTTCACATTTTATTCACCACTGTAAATTCTACATCCCAGTAATGCCATTCTCCTTGCTGTTTCTCTTATCTCCTCTTTGCCATGTATTTGCTTGGAATTTTTTCATTGTTTCTGCCTCTTGACATTCCTAGATTCTTTCAAGACTTAACTCAAATATCACCTTTTGCAGGAGGCCTTCCTGGTTCCCCCAACCACTTGAACTTTCCTCTCTTAAAGTTGTCTGTATATCTTTTGTGTAAACCTATTTATTTACATATTGTCTCCCTAATAAGGTTATATATGTGGAGGGCAAGAACTGTTTTTGTGTTTTTACCTTTCTTTGTGTCCCCAGAACTTGGTACAATGCCCAGTGGCTTAGCAAGGGTAATGTTTATCAGTTGATTGGTTGATTGAGCAAATAAGGACAGTGAAATTTTGCTATTCTCTTTGTTTCAATAAATTATATGATTATAAAGCCATAACCTAATGTTAAATATTGTTTGCAAATTCCTGTCTAATACTTTCTTATACCATCATCAAGGATATCTTCAATATATGTATGCTATAATGAATGAAATTTCTAATTCTTCTTTTGGTGGAAACTGTTATTTATATTTCAAATAAAGTCTTGGTAAAATAAAGGATGATGATTGAGTCAAATAATGTTCTTTATCAGACAGAACAGAGCCTCTGAAAAGGAAAGCTTAATATAAGAATAATAAGTACTTTAGTACTATTGTGTTTTTAAGTTATCTTTATGCTATGAAGGATTTTCATCACAAATTTTTTTTGTGATATTATTTGCGTATGACAAGCAACATGGCACAGTTGTTAGGAGGACCTGGATTCAAGTCCCACTTCTGACACATTGTCACTAGATCAAATTCACCTCTCAATGACCAAGCAGCTAAGATGATAAGTTTCAGAGCAGGTCCTGGTTTGCATTGGTAGAGAGAGTTTTTTCCCCAGGTATTCCCTATAGCAGTAGAATCATAGATCCAATTTTTTAAATTACATATCAATAATACATGTACTTATTCCTTTTCTTTGGATATTAAGCATTCTGGATATGCTGAAATTGGAAGGAAAAGTAATGAATGGCCTTCGTGATCTTGGGATTAAAGAAGAGAACTTCAACAAACTTTTAAAATTAAATACACATCATGTAGATGACAATTATGCATTAGATATTCGACATACTTCAATAATGGTATGTATCTCTGTATGTAATTCTAAGTCTTTAGGCAAAAAAACTTTTAGCAAATTACTTAAGGCTTAATACTGCATAAATCCTGTTAAGTGGACGAGCCATTTGCTAGGATTAGGTTTAACAGTGGTGGTAAGAGACCTTCCATTTTTGCTACATTTTTTTTTTGCAGTACCTCTTTTGAGTTCCTTAAGTGTAAGCTTTTATTCACATATGTTAGAAGAAAACACCAAGAACTTGTTCAGTATTCTTGTCATGTTAAAACAAATATTTTTGTGGTGCTTTATATATAGCCTCTACTTATAAATTTGTTTCTGTAGTCCAGCATCTGTAGAAATGAAGTAGCAAATAGATGAGACATTCTATATTTCTAGATATAAGAAAAACAGCTCAGGTACTGGGATATCCTTGAAATTATGTTTTTGTTAATCTTAGTTTCAGAAGTATGTTAAGTTTTATATCATCATCATTTCTCATATGCCGTTATTGGCCCGATTTCATTTTTGAGCTAGGTATCTAATTTTAAGTTTATTCACATTACTTTTTTAAAATGTTTTATGAAAAATAAAAATAACTATTTAAATAACTCTTGTTATTGATTTTATGGTCATTAGTTGAAAGTTTCTTATTTGACTTTTCTGGAAGAGTACTACCATGGAAATAGAAGCATGATAAACATGAAAATTTAGCATGTTCATTTTCAACCATACCATATACATTAGAAAAAGGTCATAGCATAGATCCTGAAGTCCTTGGCACAGCAGAGTATGGGTTTGTGTTTTTGGTACATTTTTTTTTTGGTGAGGCAATCAGGGTTAAGTGACTTGCCCGGGGCCACACAGCTGGTAAGTGTCAAATGTCTGAGGCTGGATTTGAACTCAGGTCCTCCTGACTCCAAGGCCAGAGCTCTATCCACTATGCCACCTAGCTGCCCCTTTGGTACATTTTTATTTCAAAAGATCACTAGGTGACCAACAAAATATTAACAGATGAACACTATTACTTCATAGGTTGCTGAAAGTCAGAACATAACAGAAAAATTTCTGTCAACAGAAGTATCAACTTTATTGTTGGGATAAATATTTTGCAAGTTTGCCCTATCATCTGTTGAATCATTTGGCTTTCAGTTTAATGATGTCTGGAGTTTTTAAGAATCGAACATTTAGAAATACATTAATCATTGAACTGCCTGACTTAGTATTATTGTAAAACATTCAATTAAGTACCTTTTCCCTTGAATTAATGCAAAATTATTATATGCTTTTAGATCTGATTTTATAAATTTTTATTCTCAATCTTTCAATGAAAATTTATGTAAGATTTTATAACATACTTTCATGTCCTATATTTTAAGTAATATAGTATTTATATATTGAAGTTACTGAAGGTGAAATTAAGAATCAAGCATTTGTTTAAAACAACTAGACGATTCTGCTGTTATATTTAATGCATTACTTTATAAAGACTGATAAATTTGTATTCATTTTTATCCTTACTTAATTTTTCTTTCCGTAAAATCCTAGTCTTGACTATTTATGCTTCCTTTTTCCCACTTTTAATCCTTTTTTTTCACTCATCATTCTCCTTCCCAGTCCTTTCCAAGGAATATCAAACCATGATTGCAATGGTGTAAGTATTCATATTCTATACTCTTAACAAGTCTCTTCTTCGTAATTACTGCTCTCCTCTATTTTTCTTACTTGCTTTTTTTTTCTGGTCATCCTAACAATGAACAAAATGGAGGGATTAATGGAATTCCCCTTTTCTACCCCTAGAAGTTGATGCAGTATTATATTAAGTGTGGGAATTTTGAACTCTATAATAATGAACCAGTATTTCTCTTGAAATCTGTGTAATTTCAAGAACTTTGTTGTCTGGTACAGTCCAGTTTCTAGTAAGATGGTCTCTGGGAGAAGAATTTGGTTATATACCTTATTCCTGGGAGTTGTGTATATTCTAACCAAAGTCCAAAGTTGTGGCCAGTAGGTTTTAGACTGTATTCCAGTGACCTAAAAAATCAACACCAAAAACAAATGTTTATTGAATGCTCACAAGAGGTAAGGTCTTATATTAGTTGCACTTCAGGCAATCTAGTTGGGAAGATAAGACATAGAAAAATATTAGAGTTGTCATACCAATATATTAACATAACAATTTGAAACTAATAAAGGAAGTTTTACCAGTCAGTGCATTATTTGTTTATACATTAATTAATTTTAAAATTACACACACAATAATTGTTGTAGAAATTCTAGACATGGAGCAATCGCTTTAAGGTTGGGGGATTGTCAGGTAAAGTTTTATGGATAAGGTAGAATTTAAATTCTTTCTTATTCACATATATTCACATTGTTGGGAAGTACATGAAAATTATTAAATCTAAGCATTGCCCTCAAATAGTTGATGAGACTATTGGATAAACAAACTATTTATAAGAAACATATAGATATATAGATATTTCCTATATTTTATAATCTTTTTTCAACAAGAGCATGGGACTTTAGAGTATATTTAGTTCAGCCCTTAAGACTAAGGGTTAGAGAGTCTAAAATTCATAAGCTTGTTATTCAGACCCTTTGTCAGTTCATATATTACTTTCCTGATTTTAGGCCCAGTGTTCTTTCTACTGTATCACATCTGATTTCAAATAAGTCTTTATAAATTTGAACACATTAATGCCATTTTTACTAATAATGAAAGAGATATTTGTGAAAATAATGAATTTCTGATTAAACACTGTATTTAACTAGAGAGTGAGAGATGAGTATGTAAAAAAAATCCACTTCTTGATGCTTCATGACAAGCCTACACCCTTCTCCCACAGTAGGTTACCTATAGATCCAGTTCTTTTTCAATACCAGCAGTTGTTGAACAGATTAGATGAGCACCCTGTAGTCTTTATCTATGAAAAGATCTGCACAGACACATTTTATCAATACCTATGGTATAATTTTCAGGTGGGTAGGTACTGCTTTATCTTGACTAGTCAGACTGAAGTAATATGATTCTTTGGTAACAGACAGGTCTCAGAGTATTCTTGTTAAAATATTCAGCTATCTAGAAAGAGATGATCATGAGACAAAAAATACGTCAAAGACCTATGATTTCTTCAATATGGGAACTCCTCTCTGTAACTTATAGTTCTAACGATTTGCCTTAGTGGATAAGGGATGCAGTTAAAAGACTATTGGTTTCTTAAGGTATACTAATTAAGTGACTTGTTAAAATCTACATGCAGTATATGTGCATCATGTCTCTATTTACTAGGTTTAGTAACCATTTCAAAAAAGAAAATAAGGTTAGTTTGGAAGGACTTGTTCTTAATAAACCCAGCTTGATTCCTAGTAATCACAACTTTCTCATCTGAATGCCTACATAACACATGCCTATATAATGCTTATGTAATGCCTATATAACACAGTCTAATCCATTAAGTTTTAACTGTATACCTGTTTTCTAATTGTTATTGTGATAAAAAGACAAAACAAAAAATAGTCCTTCGAAGAGTTCACATTTTTCTAAGGAGGTACAACCCGTAGAAAGATGAACAAATGAATGGATGAATAAATAAATGAAAAAGCTTTTATTAAGCGCTTAAATATGTGCACAGCATTGTACTAAATGATAGGAATGCAAATGAGAAAAGCAAGACAGTCTATGCTTTAAAGGAGCTCACATTCTTGTAGGAAAGATAACATATAAAGAAGGTTTCAGTTATAAGTCATATATAAAGGCCCTATGGTCTTTAGGGTAAGGTGGCAAAAAGACCGTATCTTTTTTCTTTTTTTTTCTTTCTTTTTTTGGGGGGAGTGGGGAGAGCTGGGCAGTGGAGTTAAGTGACTTGCCCAGGGTCACACAGCTCGTGTCAAGTGTCTGAGGCTGGATTTAAACTCAGGTCCTCCTGATTCCAGGGCCAGTGCTCTATCTACTGCGCCACCTAGCTGCCCCCTCCTATGTCTTTTTCTGGTATTGAACCATTTAACAGTGCCAAGGATTTGTTTGGTAAAAATGCTCATATCCAGATCTTCAGTAGCTACAGCAACTGAGGAGGTAAGGGCTACAGAATCTGCCAAAGCAGTTGCCAGGTCATATCTCCAAAAGGGGTAAGTCCTTGGATGATGGCTATTACTATGTGCACTGAGTTGGAAGCAAGGCAGGTAGTCTGGAGGACACTGCTATTCTCAGGGCTTTTGAGCTCATGGCCCTATACTGTCTTAGTTCTGGTCTGAGGAAAGACAATGGTGATTTGATTTGACCAGCCCATACTACCTTCTGTTTCTCCCTCAGAAGGCCTTGTTAATTCGACTAGCATAACTTCCTTGTCCTATGGTATACGCTGTTATGAAGTTTTATGTACACAATGCCTTTATTTCTGTCTTTGACCTCCTTGGGAATCCCAACTATGCAACATCTGAGTCAGTTACTTTTTTTTTTTTTCAAAGTTCCAAACTGTTTTCCAGAATGGTTGGACTACTTCACAGTTGCACCAACAGTGTATGTGCCTTCCTAAAGCCTCTCCAACACTTACTATTTCTGGTTTTCTGGGTTTTTTTTTTAATGTTTGCTATTGAGGCCTGTGAGAAGAATTGGAACAGTCTGTCATGTGCTTGATAATAGTTTGCATTCTTCTTTGAGAAGTTTTTTTCTCTTCTTTGACCATTTATCCATTAAGGAATGACTTGCTCATATATTTGCTTTGTTTTCCTATACATCTTGATTTTCAGATCTTTATCAGAGATAATTGAAGCAAACTTTTTCATCTAATCAACTTTCTGTCTTTAAACTCTCGTATTTATTTTGTTCATGTAAAATCTTTCTATTTCTATGTTTTAAACTCTGAACTAGTTGAAAAGCTTTTTATGATGTGCTTTTCTTTCAATGCCTATCCCTTTTGTTCTTTATAATGACCATTTCAATTACATGGTAAGAATTTTGTTTGTGATAACTTCTCAATCCTCCAGAGAAATATTATCATTTTTAATGTCTTTGTCCATGGGGTTATATAGATATTTGGCTGAACTTTTTGAAATCTCTTTTCCTAAATTTCAGAGTATACATCTGACTATACCAATCCGTCCTAGTGTAGATGTTTGAGGACCTTATAGCCCTCCATAGAAGCAATAGGCCCTTTGATAAAGGTACATTTTAACTTAAATAGTGGAATTTTTAAAGCCACATTTCAGACTCTTAGGATGATGGGGTTATGGTGCAAAGAAATAGTGTTTCATGGCAAAAGATGTTTGGATCATGGGCACCAGAGAGATAGCCACAAATGGAGAGGAGAAGATAGGTCCAGATTTCAGTCACTGAAAAGACAAGTATACAACTGCTTCTCAAGTTATAAGAAGGGTAATATCTAGAGCTCAACTATGATGATGGTAGAGTCACAGCAAGAGGGGGAAAGGGGATCAATGATCTAGCAAGAACCACCCTCTACACCTATCACATAGATGAGCTAATGTTATATTTAGCATAGGAATTCCTTGATAACTATTCTCCTAACACAGGACAGCTCAGTGATATAGGCAAGAAACATTAATTCTGTAGGTGGGGGGAGGAGTGGATTGTTTTCTCATTTCTGATATAATAAATGGAGAAGTACTAAGGACTAGTCAGTGAAGGCCCTACTGTACCATTGATCATGAAAGTTTCTAGATATAGAGAGTTCCAGAAAAGACAGAGATTCTAGGCTGGAGGAGAGAAAGGGTACACAGGAAAGAAAGCCTGTCATAAGAAAGCCTGTATACCCAGTAAACCAGAGAGGTTTTTGGATCTATTATTCAAGTGTTGACAGTCTGTTTGCTAAGTATCTACTGTGGTATGATCCTAAAATGAACTAGTTATTTTCATATTATATTTCATGTTATGTTACTAAGGAGAGCTGTCATACTAAGTCAAAGTATTTTACAGGAATGTGGTGCTCGTGACCATATGATTGGATGAAAGAAATGACTTTTTGTGAATAATGAAACAATTTCTTTGGTCTCTATTCACTTTGCTGTATGAGGAACAATAGTCCAAATAGATATTATTGTGGTGGAGGACAGTCTGAAGTGAACTCTGACCCTAATTCTGAGGTAGAAGAGTAAGTTCATCCCAGAACCCTCCTAGGAAGAGCGAATGACTATCAAGAAAAACATTTAGCACCTAATAGAAAGCCAATTAGTAATCTTCATTATATATTCACATCATAAAAAAAGATTCCTTGGAAAATGGACCCAAAAAGAGAACTCTTAAACAATTGTCTGATTATTAACATCAAGGAGGGCATATGTAACTCTTTCCTCATTCTGTTTCACAGAGAGGGGAGGAAGAAGGAGCAAGCTATGGGATGAGTGTTTCAGAGCAGCGCAACTGTAAAGCTTGCAAAAGTGGACATCCCTATTAAACTGAACTGATAAGTCCTGGAAGAAAAATTATGTAATTGTAGGATTGTTCAATGACAGGGAAAAGAGAACATAGGGCAGTGGTTGTAAAGCACCTGTGCATGTCTGATCATTGCACAGGACAAGGAGACCTGGGCTAATTGTTTCCTATGGAGATTGACATTTACTCTACTCCCTGAATTAGAGAACTGTGAGCTGAAAAGTGGCAGGAAAGAGAGCTGACAAGACCTAGAATACCCAAATAGCCAGGACTTAGAGCAAAAGAGGAATACTAAATGGCCAAGTTTCCCTGATTACTGAATGGGAAAGCTAGTGGGGTTATAAATAGTAAAGCTGTTAATTCTGTCCTTGAGAATTATTTCATTTCCAAGTGGCAGCAGCTGATTCTAGACATTTGAACTATGTCTAGAAATACCTGGTTTAGGTTTGTACTTATAGCCTAGTTATGAGTAGGCTGAATCTGGGAAAGGTGATAGGTATAGGTATATATACTATAGGTATAGATATATATGCATAGATGTAAGTAGTAATTGTTTTTATTATATTTTATATTCCTTGTTATGAGTAAAGGCTGTATACCATTAAGCCACATTTCTGTTCAATTCTTTTGTGCCATGCTCATGTAATTAGTATTTGTTGCAATACAGTGGACCAGACTGGAAGGTAGAAGTACCCAATGGTGGGGGGCTTGACCCAAGACTTCAATGGGATAGATCCACACTAACCATGCCTACTTTATTATTGAGATAAGCAGTTCCCACTCACAACTGGGTGGATAGAAATTGCAACTCTTTAAGGGAGATAGAAGTGGCAATTCTTGAAGAATGTTAGTGCTTATGGAATGATAGAAAGGAGTAAGGCTGTGCTCCTAAATTTTGCCTGTCTGAACTAATCTATTTTTCCTTTTTAGGGTTTTTTTCAGAGGCAGCTAGTATTAGTAGCTATTTTATAATGAAATTTGAGATCTGATATCAAGATTCCTTTCCAACTTTTTTGTTGTTTCTCTTGATATTTTTGATTTTTTTATTCTGTTGTATGAATTTTATTCTTCTTTTCTCTAAATCTCTAAATTATCCCTTGGATAATTTGATTCATATTACATCAGATCTCCTGATTAGAATACTTTTGGTTTGCTACTAATACTCATTGTGACCTTGGCCAAGTTACTTCTCTGGGTCTCAGTTTCTTCTTCTGTATAAATGTGGCAGTGAGATTAGATGGCAGCATAGCATATTGAATTAAATGTCAGAATTAAAGTCAGGAAGACTCATAAACATTTTATAATCATGAGACCCTAAGCAAATCAGTTAAACTCCCTAAGCCTCAGTTTCCTCACCCACAAAATACAGCTAGTAATAATAATCGTTTATGGGGTTTGTATCAAATGAGAAAGTATATCAAGTATTTTTTAAAATGCTTAATAAATGCCAGCTATTATTGTTGTTGTTGTTGCTGCCTCTAAAGTTGTTTCCAGTACTATGAGTCTGAGATCTATTCTTAAAGTCTCACTAGCAAAAACATCAGAAAAACAAATATTTGTATACAAGGTGTATAAGACTGCGATATACCTAGTTGACTATAGAAGTAACTGTACAAAGCTAAAATGATAGTAGACATGCACCAAAAGTTGATTTCAAATTAAATTATAAAATGAGGACAAAGAAATTTATATTTATATAATTTATATTTACAAAAATACTTATTCTATCTTTTATTTCCTAGCTTTATTTTCCTATGTCTACCAAATATTAAATATCACTTCTGTAAATTATTGGCTTCTTTTCTAGTGGATGAATAATTTAGAACAAGATGATATATATGCTATGTGGCCAATGAGTTGCCAGGAACTTTTGGAGCCAATATTCCCTGGAAATATACCTTCAATTAGGCGTAATTTTTATAACCTGGTAAGTTGTTCAGTCTTAAAAGCCATTTCATACTCTGACAAAGTATATAGATTTCAAAGAAATAGCAGCCTTTTTGGAATTGTCATACTAGACTAAGCAAACCAGAGGGAAATTGGGATATGGAAGGTATTTACAAGAGTGTTATAAGTTATCACAGCCCAAGATTCAGTGACACACTTTCTATACTAAAGAAAGTAGGTGTGGAATAGGCAATAGCTATGGCAACCTGGAAATTCAAGAATAGCATCTAGGGTGGTACATCTGAGCATTGACTCATGTATTATGTTCCAAGATGTTGGCTCCTATTATAGAATATCTAAATGTTTTACATAAACTTCCTCAATTATAGACATACCCATCTGCGGTTTAGTTCCATAAAACATAATTTTAGGTGAAACTATTTTAGCAGCAGCTTCGTAACAGAAATGTTATGAATGGAAGGTTTGTTTCTGAGCAACTTAAACTTGAACAACAAAACCGTAATATATATCCTTAGAGAAAAAGTGCCTGCCAACAGATCTGAATTAGGGAGATCTGTGACATCGTCATCAGAGGGCTTTAGAATTGGAGAGGAAGGGTTGCCAGATGACTACATGATGTTAACATCCTCTAAGGGGTAAGGTAAGAGAAGCTAACTTTACCACCTGGAAACAGGTAGTTTAAAATCTAACCACAGATGACCACTGTCAGGTGAATTAGCCATTCTTTTCTTCTCTCCCACAATCAATATGACCACAGGGTTCGTAAGATACAATCCATTTACCTTAAGGAACAGAACAGCTTAAAAGTACTGAACCCTAATGCAAAGTGTGATTAGAGCTAGAGCCAAGAGTTTTGGGAGCCAAATGCTCTACCAAACCATAGAACAGTAGTTTTTAACTTGAAAGAATTCCTGAAGATTCCAGAAAAAAAACTATATTTCTCCTGTTTGTATTTTCTTCTCCAAAAGGAATTAATAGAATAATTAATTTGATTGTATTCTGTTGTGAATGTGGCTACTTATCAACAAAGCTATTATATAAAGTACTTAACATTTCTCTGTGGTATTTAACAACCAATATGAAGAACAGAGACATAAACTAAGCCTTGTGGTTTGGTTGGCCTTGTTTTGCTGCCCTCCAAGAATTAATTCAAAGATGCAGGAAATCCTGATTTTTAGTGTAGGGCTTGTAGTGGAGTGAGTCTTTTTAATTCTTTTTATGCCAAATATAGTGATGCTCAGATACCAATTTCCTATTCATTTTAAAAGATTTATTATACTCTATTACAATATTAAATATTTGAATTGATTTTAAATTCTAAACTAATAGAAAATAAAGGAGGTTTGTAAGATATGATTGCTATTTTCACATATGGCATGGTATACATTTTAAATTAAATGTCATTCTATAGCTGTATGAGGCTTTTTTGAGGGCAAGGAGTACTGGTTTCTTAATTTTGAAGATTTAGCACAGACATGATGATATATGCTGAGGATAAGATAACATGTTTGATGAAGAAGATAGTACACTTCCAAAAAGTGCCATGAGTAATATTGACATTTATTTCTATTTACCACAGTGTTTTGAAAACAACTACACAAACTAAAATTGTTTGATAGCTAATTTTTCCAAAATGTTTACCTTAACAGAGAACTATAATTAATAATTTAATTGACTGAAAACCACACTGACTTTAAATTTCACAAGGGGAATAGCGGATATTTAAAAATAAAAAATAATTTTAATTACTAAATTCTATTTTCCTCTTAGGTTCTTTTTATCAATCCTGATCAAGAAATTACAGCAGATTTTGTAAAAATTGCTGAACTGTTCTATCAATATAGAATCCCTCTAAGGTAATTTCAAATTTGCAACATTAAATTGATCTTTTTAATTAAATGTTATTTAAATACCATTGCTTGAGATTGAAATGTTGTTTTACCATTAGGTTAAAAGTCAGAAAGTTTCAGTGTTTATTTAATCTGTCTTATTGTCTAGCTTAAGCTTTAAATTTCTCTTTTTTTCCTGCCCTCAAGGAGTTTATATTCTTGTTTGTTTGTTTTTAATTTCTTGTAAAAGTAAACAGATAGCTCACATGTTAAAATAACCCTTCTTAATCTTCCAGGTTCTAGTCAGGTAGCATGTGGTCAGTGAAAGCATGTATATATCCCACCTGTCAGCATTCCAAAATGAACTTAATAGTGATAATTTTTGATGTCTTCTCAATAGAATTGAAATTTTTTCATATCTCCCAACTCTTTGATCTACTATGTATTATCTCCTGATTATGCCCTTGTTTTGTTACTGCTACTTTCACAGGTGTCCAGTATTCCTTAGGTGATTTGACGGGTATCTGGATAATAATAATAGCAGTAGTTGTGCCATTGATCATGCCCTGTATTTAATGATACTTTCAGGTGGTTATTTACTAAAGCTTATGGTTTTATTTTGTTGTTATTGTTATTGTTGGTTTAATTTGGTACAGACCAGTGATTTCTTTAGTAGGAAACTTCTAGTCAGAGAACTTCATCCATCCATGTAGAACTACAACTGTCCCACAACTTAGAGCAGACCTGCACAACTTGTAAATTTCTTCAGGCTGCAGATAGGTTAGACCATAGACAGACTGGGGAGGGTTGGTTGCCACAGGTCACATGACAAACAGGAGAGTACACAGAAGCAACCTTATTTTTTTCTTGGGCCACTACAAGTGGCCCCTAGGCCGTATGTTGTGCAGGCTTGACTTAAAGTCTTAGACAGTTGCCTGGGCTCCTGAAGGGTTAGTGACTTGTCCAGCCAGAAAGTAAAAGAGGTAAGACTTGAACTCTCCTCAGGACATCATGACTTTGATGCCAATTCTCTCTCTCTCTTTAACTTTCCAAACTGAGTTTTGCTGGTAATTTATAAAAATGCTAGTGAGTTACGTTGTTTTATTCTATATCCTTTTGATTTGCTTAAGTTACTCTTTCCACTGATTTTAGTTGTGTCTTTAAGTAAATCTACAAAAAGCAATAATTTTCTTACCTTTTTCACAGGGCTTATTCTCTCATTTTCTTTTTCTTGTCTTGTTGTTATACCTAGAATTTCTAAAACGGTAGCAAATAATAGGAGTGCTAATGGAGATCCTTACTTTACTGCTGATCTTATTGCAAAGTCATCTAGAATTTCTCCATTACAAATAATTCTGACTCTTGGTTTCATGTAGTTAATATTTACCATATTTACTCCCATAGTTTTTAATGTTTTTAACAAAAATCAGTGTAATATTTTGTCAAAAGCTTTTCCTGCATCTATTTAATAATCAGATGATTTATATAATTTTTGTTTACTAATCAGTTTAAAATGTAATTTTCTACATACACCTATAAGATTTTTATACCCTAGAACAGATCATGGCTGATATTTATGAAAGTGCCAAACATAACAGAAATATGCATAATCTTTTTGGGTTTTGTTCAATAATAATCAGAGGTCTGTCATATCTAACTTGTGTAAAATTCTGTTCAGGCCCTTAACTTCTTTCTTGTTTATCTTTCTAGCAGCTTTGCCTAGGTTTGAAAGGAGTCCCATCAAGACTCCCAACTGTTATAGTTTCTCTTGCTCCCTATGATTCAGTTAACTTTTGCCCTAATCATTTAGATGTTTTTCCATATAGTAAATATATAGTATATGCATGTGTATGTGCATATATATGTATATATACACACAAATATATGTATGTAGTTAGTATTATTTATTGTCTATAGTACCTTTAAGTGTAATGTATTTCCCTGTTCATCTCTTTTAATTGTATTTCCTTGTCTCATGTCATTCATGTCACTCATTTGTGTGTCCCTCTTATTTTTTTAGTTCACCTAAGGCACAATCTCTTATTTTAACTCCATGAATCATTGTTTTAAATGTGTTTCTTATAAACAACATATTATTGGATTCTTCTTCCTCTCATTCATTCTATTATACTTTATCATATTATGGATTAGTCTTTATTATATAGTTAGCTATTTTTTTATCTCTACTATATCTTCTTGTCCTTTTCCATCTCTTTACCCATCTTTTTTCTCTTTCCTCTCTTTACAAGGAAGAATTCAGTGGTGAAATAGGTTTGTGATTGGTGATGGTGATCTTTAATTGGAGCAAAAGGTTTCTTATGGGGGGCAGAGCCAAGATGGCGGAGTGAAAGCAGTGACTTGCTTGAGCTCTCCCCCAAATACTCATAAAAAATGTCTCTAAACAAATTCTGAAGCAGCAGAACCCACAAAAAGACAGAGTGAAACAAATTTCCAGCCCAAGACAATCTGGATGATTGATCAGAAAGGTGTAGCATGCCGGGCTGGGAGTGCAGTGCAGTGAGGCATGGGCATGCAGGCAGCACAGAACCTGGAGCAGGCCTCAGAGGACTGAATTGCGGGCAGCTGTGGAGGTTTCCAGACTCCTCAATCCATCAATGCTAAAGACAACTTAGAAGGTCAGTGGGAAAAGTCTGTTTCTGCTGTGCTCAGAGAGGAAGGTGGGGTTTCAGCTCCATTCCCCAAGAGCGTGGCCCTGGGGGGGGGGAAGCTGCATCCAGAGCTTCTGGCCCACAGACTGAGGGGAAATCCAGTGGCTGATCAGAGAGGGATTGCAGAGATCTCTTTGCCAGTGCTGAGGCAGGAATCTCTTGCTTTGCCCGTGTTGGATCTGGTCACAGTTCTGGGCGCATGCTGGGTGAGGAGGAGCGCTGGTGTGGTGGAGCTTGTAGTGGCTGTGAAGAGGAACCCGTCCTCACAGTTACAGGACAGAAAGGAGTACTTGTGGTCACAGGCCATGAAAGGAGTAAACACTCGCCCCTATCATACACCTTGCAAGAACTGAAATTTAAAGGTCCCTAAAGTATCTCTGAAAACAGCTGTACAAACCCCTGAAGCTTGGACAATACATTCTCCACATTGGAAGCAGACTCTTACCTTAACAAAGAGTTTAAAACTCAAGTAATTGGCTGGGATCATGAGCCAGCAGTGCAAAAAGAGTCCGACTGTATTATCTTACTTTGATGAAAAAGAAGATCAAAATATACAACCAGAAGAAGGCAACAAAGTCAAAGCTCCTACATCCAAAGCCTCCAAGAAAAGTATAAATCAGTCCCAGGCCTTGGAAGAGCTCAAAAGGATTTTGAGAAGCAAGTAAGGGAAGTAGAGGGAAAAACTGGGAAGAGAAGTGAGAGTGATGCAAGAAAATCATGAAAAACAAGTTAACAGCTTGCTAAAGGAGACCCAAAGAAATACTGAAGAAAATAACACCTTAAAAAATAGCCTAACCAAATGGCAAAAGAGGTCCAAAAAGCCAATGAGGAGAAAAATGCCCTAAAAAGAAAATTGGCCAAATGGAAAAGGAAGTCCAAAAGATTACTGAAGAAAATACTTTCTTAAAAATTAGGATAGAACAATTGGAAGATAGTGACTTTATGAGAAACAAGACACTGTAAAATAAATCCAAAAGAATGAAAAATTAGAAAACAGTGTGAAGTATCTCATTGGAAAAGCAACTGACCTAGAAAATAGATCCAGGAGAGAGAATTTAAAAATTATTGGACTATTTGAAAGCCATGATCAAAAAAAGAGCCTAGACATCATCTTTCAAGAAATTATCAAGGAAAATGCCCTGATATATTAGAACCAGAGGGCAAAATAGAAATTGAAAGAATCCACAGATCTCCTCCTGAAAGAGATCCCCAAAGGAAAACTCCTAGGAATATTGTAAAAATTCCAGAGTTCCCAGGTCAAGGAGAAAATATTACAAGCTGCCAGAAGGAAACAATTCAAGTACTGTGGAAACACAATCAGGATAACACAAGATTTAGCAGCTTCTACATTAAAGGACCAGGGCATGAATATAATATTCTGGAGGGCAAAGGAGATAGGATTACAACCAAGAATCACCTACCCAGCAAAACTGAGTATAATCCTTCAGGGGAAAAATGGTCATTCAGTGAAATAGAGCTTTCAAGTTCCTGATGAAAAGACCAGAGCTGAATAGAAAATTTGACTTTCAAATACAGACTCAAGTGGAACATGAAGAGGTAAACAGGAAAGAGAAATCATAAGAGACTTATTAAGATTGAACTATTTACATACCTGCATGGAAAGATGATATATATAACTCATGAGACCTTTGTCAGCATTAGGGTAGTTGAAGGAAAAAAATTATAGATATAATAGATAGATAGATAGATAGATAGATAGATAGATAGATAGATAGAGATGAGGAGGGTGAGTTGAAGATTAAGGGGTAGAATAAAATTAAGGGATGAGAAAGTATGATACTTGGAGAAGAAGAGAGGGAGAGGTAGAATGGGGTAAATTATCTCACAAAAAAAAAAACCCAGAAAAGTCTCTCACAGTGGAGGGGAAACAGGGGAAGGTGAGAGGGAATGAATGAATCTTATTCTCATGGGATTTGGCATAAGGAGGGAATAACATACACATTCAATTGGGTATGGAAATCTGTCTTACCCTACAGGAAAATAGGGGGAGAAGGGGACAAGAGAGCAGGGGAAGATTAAAGAGGAGGGCAGATTGGGAAAGAGGTAATCAGAAGTAAACACTTCTGAGGAGGGACAGGGTCAAAAGAAAGAATAGAATAAATGGAAGGGCAGGATAGGATTAAGGGAAATAGAGTTAGTTTTTCACAACATGTCTGCTATGGAAGTGTTTTGCAAAACTGCACCTGTACAACCTATATTGAGTTGCTTGCCTTTTCAGTGAGGGTGGGTGGGGAGGGAGGAAGAGAGAAAATTTGAAACCTAAAGTTTTAAAAACATATGTTTATTAAAAAAATGTTTTCACTGGGAAATAAGAAATACAGGAAATGGGGTACAGAA